CGCGAGGACCTCAAGCAGTCAGGGTCGTGCGAGCCACATCGGAGACCCTGCCTGAGTTCTGGCATCCTTGCTCTGCCTCTTCCCAGCTGTTACTAGCATAAAAGAATTTCCAGAGAATGGAAACACATATATGCTCTTTCTCTCTCTTCCCCAAATAAACAAACAAGCAAATAAAGGTATAAATTACTACTGTACAGGGCACATAAGGATATGATAATGGACTTAAAGTAAATCTTCAATTGCCATGGTTGTCCAAACAATAATCACCGTTACCACCTCCATCGTAAGACTGGAGCAACAAGCGTACGGAAGGCCCGTGCCAGGCGCTTTCGTGCGTCCATGCCGCGGCCACACTGCATGGCAGGGTAAGGCCTTTGGCAAATGCATTGCTTCTCTTTCGGCGGCTTCCTCTTGGTCTTCCTGCTACCTGCTTCTGCCTGGGTCATGGGCCATATCTTTGCTCTGTCCTCTTTGAGGACTCCCGGGTTCCCATCAGAGCCCAGAGTGTCTCTCCTGCGAGGTCTCCCTCCTGTCTCCCTTTAGGTGGCAAGGGGTTAACATCACAGCCATGCAATGCCTGCAACAACTGAACTGATGATTTGTTCTTGTGAAAATGAATGTTCCCTTCAGTGCAAACTTTCAAACAAGCAGGTGAACCCTCGGAGGGCCTCCAAATGCCACGCATAGGTATCCAATGGTCAGATAAGAGATTTGCTTGGATCTGAGTATACCTGCGTTGGAAACTACACTTTCAAGGGTGACAGACTCAAGGCCATCAAGCTTTCTAAGGCAGGTCCTGAGCCCACAAAACTGGGCAACCAATAACTGTAGCACCTCCTCCGGGTTAAGAGGCTGTGTGTCTACTGCTGAACACATCATCCCAATAAACCCACTCCCAGCCAGAGGTGAATCGGTGTGTAGGATAATTTCTTTGAAAATATTAAAGAACAAATCTCTAAGGCACTGAGTAAATTAAAATCGTTACTTTGAAGTAAATAGAATTATAGCAAAAATGAACAATGAAAAAAGTAGAAAAGATTTCAAGATCTGACTCAACTGCTCCCCCTAGTGCCATAAAAGGGTTCATGCCTTGCTCTCACTTGTAGCTTGCCGCACAGTTTATGCTAGAAAATTTCAGATTAACGGACAAGAAAAAGGCAAAATGTTAAACAGGGCCCATCAGTTTCTTGGGAAAGCACCGAGTTAAGTCTTAGGGGGAATACATCAAATATGGTGACACAAAAATGCAATGGAGAACCAGAGACACAGTGTGAGAGCTGCTATTCCTTTACATTTTAGTTTGAATGTATTTTTTTTTTATGTATATGTAACATCACTATTGAGTCATCTTTAAATTATGTTTTGGAAGTCAAACATCAAATCAGATGAAATATTCATGGAAGGTTCAAGAATACTAAATTAGAAAACAATTCTAAATCTTATAAACCAGGATCTATGACTTGGCAGGTAGATTCAAACACAGCCCATAAATATTTTCTGCTCTGTTTTTGTGTGTGTTTGAGAGTGTGTTTGTGTGTGGTCCCCAAAAGACAAGCTTTGCCAAGTGTTTGCTTATTAGCTATACACTTAAAATCTAATTTTCATACGTTCTTAGGAGAAATCTAATGGCACTTAACCAGCAGAAGGATGAGCAGGAGGCTGGGGTGGGGCAAGCAGGACGCGTGGACCAGCACAGTGGATGCTTGCGGGCCCTTCCGCTTCCCCGGCTAGCAGCACTGTTCTCTCAACTTTGTGGTTTACGCTCAGTTCCCTCTCTCTGATACTGAACAAACCTCCCAGACCGCTCAGCTGTTGGAGAATTCCAAAACAAGCAAATGTGTTCCTGGAATCTCAGCCTGGACTTTGCTGGAGAGCGCGGAGTAAGCCTTCCTCTCTGGCCAAGACGAGAAAACATCTTTTAAGTGGCTGAAATACTTGGTTGATTGCACATACATGCCAACGTCAGGCAACTATAAATAGAGAGACTGGGAGGAGAAAGAGCTCGAGTCTTTACTACTCCAATGAAATAAAATGGAGTGTTTTGAGGCAGGCAGAGAATAGGGCGTGTTTTTATACAATTCAGACTTGTCTCTCTATTATCCAAAACCTTCTCATATGGAAGAACCCACATGGTTCCTGTACTTCCATGATAAGAAAACAAAAGGACTACTTTCTTTACTGATGTAGATTTATTCTTCTTACTCCTATAACTGAGATTTTTCCTCTGTATCCTTTTGAGTTTCAATGTCCGCTGGGTCATTGAAAAATCCCCCCATTACTGCTTTGTTTTTTCAGAACACTAAAGAAACATTTCAAAGGGTAGAACTATGCCCACGGTTACTGATGAAAACGAAGCCGCAGAGAACTTCACGGGTGTCACCTGGGGCAATCCCGGTCTCCAAGTAAACAGGCCCACGTGCGCTAGCTCTTCAATAAAGGACTCGCAGGTTCCTGTCCCTAGAAACCGCTGCTCTCCGAGGCAGGCTCACACATCTGCCAGCTCTCAAAGCCGGACCACTGCATACTTTTAAAGGCACTGTTGTTTCATTTGGAATGGTAACCACCTGCCTCATATTAACCTACACGGATGGGGCTCGAATTAGTTCTTACAAATTAGCTCACTTCATTTCACACCTGCCCACTGTACCAAAGAATTTGCCAGTTGCTTGCGTTTTTTTTTTTTATTAACTATGCTGTAGATATGCAAATTGGGGAGTGGCGGTGGGAAAAGCTGTGCTTGCTTTAACAGTCTTTTAACGTGGTTCTGGGGGATCCAGCGGGAGGCAAGAGCAGGTGCAGGGCTGCGAGGTGCATCTGGAGGAAGAGTCCATACAGATTCAGCGCCTCCAGGCTCGCAGGCCGCTGTGGTCGGCCAGAGGCCATCACGCGGCTCTACAGACTCAACACTGAACATTGCATCCTGGTAAGTAATGTCCTAATAACACTCTTAGTGATGATATTATTACTTGGTGTTTATGAATTGAAGCCTTAAGGCAACAAAAAGTTAAGACTTCAAAATAGCCAAGGGATGGTTCTAAACAAGCCATGGCCATAATTTCAAAATCTTCGCTCAACCTTGGTCTTATTGATGTCCCTAAAATATTTCAACTGTAATCAGAGGGTAGGGCTCCGTTTATTAAATGCCTCTGAGTTACTTCTGATAGCAAATCCCACGGCTCTAATGATGCATCCTTAGAAGCACTGCGATGCTGAGGACGTGATTCGGATTTTCCTGTTCCTTTTAAGCAGTTCACGGGAAACGAGCACTATGGAGAAACTGCGCGGATTGAAGATATTTTTTTGGAACAAAATACTCATTTAAAAAAAGTATTTTTGTGTAAAAGGCAGAGTGACAGGGAGAGACAGAGATCTTCTACCCACTGAGTTATTCACAGAAATGGTCACAACAGCTGGGGTTGGGTCACGCTGAAGCCAGGGGCCAGGGACTGCAGCCAGACCTCCCTGACTGACGGAAGCAGTGTGAGCCACTTCTGCCCCTCCCAGGCGCACACTTGTGGGAAGCAGGATTCGAAGCACGGGGTAACCGGGATTCAAACCCTGAGACAGGATGCAGGCATCCTAAGGGGTGACATCATACGCTACATCCCAACATCTGCCCCTGAACCCACAAACCTGTCTTTCAATTCCACTTGCCCGTGAACTTTTAGACAGCGGGTATTTATTAATTGTAAACGAGAGTGAGAAAGAGTGAGTGAGCGAGGGATTCTCCATCTGCAACCTCGCCACCACAGGCAGGTCTGGGACAGACCCATCCAGGTCCCCCAGGTGGGACGCAAGGGACAACAGCGCTTGGGCACATCTTCCGGGAGCCACACTGGAAGTAGCCAGGACTTGACCTGCGATCCAATACGGGATGCTGGCATCTTTAAGGGGTGAGCTATACGCTGACCCCTCCACAAACTGATTGAACTGCTTTATCGTACAGTGGTTACTTGGTTATTTGGTCAAAGCTTTTAGAGCAAATGTGAGAGAGGAAAATGATCACTTCATTAAGCTGGCAACTGCGCATGGTACACGTTAAGTACAGCCAGTGAGTGTAAACACATCAGACTCCTGGGTGTGAAGGGAGGCCGTAAGGGGTCAGGGCACACACAGGACACTTCCAGGGGAAGCCGAGAACAGACACTTCCAGGGGCAAAGCCTGATGTCCAGCAAGTGCTTTCACACAGAAACTGACTGATCATAAACGCCCAAGTCCGTCAAACAGACTCCTGTATAACGTAACGCCTCACGAGGGAGCCACTGTAGCTGCTGACAGCATTTATTTGCGGCATTTTAAATGGAACAGATTTTTGCTTTCCTTCATAACTGATGGGTCCAAAATTAAACAGGCCACAACTGTAAGAAGAGATATTGCAACACCAAATTCCCAGATATGATTTTGTCATGACAAATGATGGTTTATCTAACCCAAGTCAGCTCAGTTATCTTTTCTTCAGCTAAATTCTTCAGACATGATGCCCAGAATTCAAAAGGAGGGACTCAATGACTTTGCTGTCTCCATCTGGAAGCTTCCATGAAGCACTCCCAGAGAACTTACGAGAACCAGACCTTCAGATATGCAGATTTCAAAACTAATAGAAATAAGAGTATTTCAAGGGGTCAGAACAGATAATAGAAATAAAATAAATGGAGCACAAACTTGTATACTTCAAGAGATACACTTATTTGGCTTTTCAATAAAATTTAGAGGAAAAACGGGTAAGCTGAAAAGCTGTGAAAACTGTCACATGTGCCGTTTCGATTAGAAAGCCAGTCCTCTATTTTGTGGATATTAAAATCTTTCTTGCCATTCAGTTGCAAGAAGACCGACCACCGTGAATTCAGGCCCTAAGATTCCGCACTGCTGCAGGAACCCGACAGTGGCTGGCTCACAGTAACGATTGCACAGTGTCCAATGGCCACGTGCATGGATATCTAAAACTGTCAGGAATCTTGAGCAACACAGAAAGAACGAACATAAATCTGCAGAGACTTACTTATTCCATGCTTGTCTAAGGTTTTTGGAGCTGTACAGGGTGAAGCGTTCTGAAATAAAAAAGAAAAACGATAAACAATCTTTGTATCAGATGTACTCATTGAGCGCCTGTTGATGAAAACTCTTTAAAAACCACTGACTACAGTAAGTGTTCGTCCGCAGACAGGATAGCGGCAGAGCAAAACGGAGTTGTAACGCTTTAAATAACGAGGCCTGTTACTTTGTCTTTTCTCTAAGATATTTTGTAATCTGGTTTCCTAGTTTTATCTTGGAATAATTATTTTTAAAATTAGATTGAGGAAAAAAAAACAGTGTAAAATACAAACTTTAAAACTTTCAGCAGACTTACAGAAGAATATTGGCACATCCATCAAGAGTTGATTTTTTCTACGAAGATTTTGCTTACCAATAATGTTGGAGCTCCTTTCTTAAAATGTGTAGCATTCACACCTGCTCAGTGTTTTATAGTGCACATCTGTATTTGTAACGGATACTTTTTACTAGCTCTTAAATTTAAAATAAATATTTTATCAAGTAAAATAACAAAATAATACAGCACAGATTTCAGTGATCTTTGAATCTGCTAACATATCAATTGTTGATGCCGGGCATGTCTCTTTCTGCACATATGCTAATGTCTATTTTTTTTTTTCTTCACACTGTGTGATATTTAATTAAGGGCAAAGTCCTTTCCAAAAACGTCACCTAGAGTCAACTTGATCCACTGCTGTGTTTTGGATATGGGTCTCTTGGGACTCCCTCTAGCGCCCGGGAGACCAATCCACGGTTTGCTGCTTTTTCCAACTAAGAAAATGTTGTTGCCAAAGTCTTTGGGATCTCTCGCGTGAGGCGCGTGGGAAGGGCCGGGACGCCGCTGGTGATTACCACAGCAGCACTGTCCACGTTAACCATGCAGAGGTTACCACGCACAGCCGGATGAAGCTGCCAACCTGCTGGCTTCCCAATCTGTCCTCAACGAGTTTTCACCTTGGCAAGGACAGCAGGGTAGCGCATGGTTCCAGCACCACGGGAAGCCACAGAAGTACTCCTGTGTCAGCGAACTTTCTCACTTTGTGCAACCTGGATTTCAGCTTGCCTCTTGTAATGTGATGAACGGCTAAGTGACTCTCAGCATCAAAGACAGAAAGTGTCTCTGGCCTTGTGGATCTTGATGAGTTCCAGGAGGTAGCCTGGCGGGGCCCGTCAGGAAGAGCTCTGGCTTCGATCTTCAGCAGCTTTTCCTCTTTTTGCCTACAGTCAGGGCTTCCTCGGGTTTGTTGATTTGAGCAACGATGACAGGAAGACATCCAGGTGGTGACTAGCAGTTGGACCAGCAGCAAACACACAGCGTCCAGCGCTACTGGCTTCCACAACTCTGAGAACGCAAAGAATCCGTGGTGCTTCCTGTTTGCGCATCTCTATGTAGAATATTTGGATTTCTAACATGGATTATTCAATAAATATTACTCTAAGACACTTTTGGCTTTTAGTAATACATCGCGGATAGTCCTTTAAATTAAGAAAACACATGTTGTAATATTCAGTGTAATATTCGTGTAATATTCAGTGACAGAAGTGTTACAACTTACTCAACCCACCTGCCACTCACGGGCTGCTCGGCAGCTTCCGCTTCCTTTACCCTGACAGTGTTTCACTCAGTGTCCACACCCATCCGTCGCTGCATGTGGATGCCACCGTTCCTGTCACCTCCGCCAATACGGAACGGCTCAGCAGATGCATGCACATTTTATATCTGCATAGATGCCAAGATATTCACTTTCGCTTTGCTAGTGGAAGCGAACGGGAGTGCGCTTTGTGCTACACACTCCCCGGGACTGCCCGCCGTCAGCGGTTATCCCGCCGGGCTCGGGAAGACATCCCTGGGCTTCCTTCCTTATGCTTTCTGGTCATCTTGCATTGTTTATTATCAATAGCTGGTACTGACTCTAATATTTAATTGTTGGGCCTTTATCAATTTGTAAAAATCTTCTGCACATGACTAAGTTCTTTTAGATGCGTGAGTATGTATTTCATTTTCATTTATAAAGCGCCAGTCCAAATGAAATTTTAAATTTTACCCAGTAAAATACTATTTTTTGTTTTCTTGTTTTGATGAAAGATCCTGACACTGAGTTTATATAAACAATATTTTGCTTTCATGTACTTTTTTAAACTAAGTTTTTATCTTCTGATTTGAAACTTTAGAAGCTAAATTTCACGTACACGGGTCATTTTGCTTGTTTAAGGACAACAGAGAATTTGGACAGGACCAGCGATACACTGATCGCGGTCATCATTCTTCGTCAAACAATCTGAAGTGACTTGACACTGTATTAAGTTCTAAAACGTATTAGTCTGTTTCCTTTTATGCTCATCTATGAACGCCAGCGCCATACGGTTTTGGTTAGTGTGCCTTCTAGAAAAAAAATACCTTTACTCTTATTATCCTTTTTCTTTTGTAAAAACTATTTTGTGGTAAGGGCTGACCATTTTATTGCTTATTCCTCACACAGTTGCTGCATGCTTACCATGCGCTAGGGGGCGTCCTAATGCTGTTGCTAGAACAGGTGAGCCCAACACAATAGACACACCATCACTGTGGGCCACAAGCTGGACCAGCTACTTTTTTTTAGATTTACTTATTTTTTATCGGAAAGTCAGATATACAGAAAGAGGAGAGAGGAAGATCTTCTGTCCATTGGTTCACTCCCCAAGTGGCTGCTATGGCCGGAGTTGGGCCAATCCGAAGCCAGGAGCCAGGTGCTTTTTCCGGGTCTCCCACGTGAGTGCAGGGTCCCCAAAGCTTTGGGCCGTCCTCCACTGCTTTCCCAGGCCACAAGCAGGAAGCTGGATGGGAAGTAGGACTGCTGGGATTAGAACCGGAGCCCATACAGGATCCCAGCATGTGCAATGAGAGGACATTAGCTGCTAGGCTACCGCGTCAGGCCCTGGACAAGCTACTTTTAGAGAGTGGTCAGTTTTCCAGCAAAGTCAAATGAGGAGACCTGATATCCAGGCACTGGTGTGACATGGACACTTTAGGACACTTAAGTCCATAAAGCCAGCAGAATAATGTTCTTGCTCGAATCTATCTGAGAAGGATGTAAAACTTCTGTGCATTAGAATATGACGTGTCTTTCCGTTCAGAACGTACGTGTGCACACACCCTTGAATAATGTAACGCTTTCTTTTCTGTACAGACCTCACGTCTTAAGAATTTAATAATAGGCTTAATTCCGCTGAATACGGGGTGGTGTCCTGTGTCAGTGCTACTGCTGCGCACGTTTCAGGCGTCAGAGTCCGTCTGAGAACAGGAGGACTTCCCCAAGCGCGTTCCGTTTCCTGCGTTTGAGCCGCAGCTCACTCAGAGTGACCGGCACCACTGTGCGGCGACTCATCCGCTCGTCCAGCCGACCTTTTGCGAACAAATACTGTTTGGCAGGCACGGGTCTTAGGGCTGAAGCTGCAAGAGGAAAGCTGAGCAAACACCTTCCTGCTAGCAGGAGCTGGCTCTCCGGGAGAGGCGTGACGCCCTGCACGTCGGGGAGCCCCAGGAGACAGGGCAGAAGGAGGCCTTCGTGGCCTCTAAGGCACCGCACGGATTTTATTCTTTCCTTTTTAAAAAATGGGGTCACGCTGGCCAATGTCTGGAGGATATACCAGAGGAGGCAAGAGCTTTAGCCACTAGGCTACTGTGCTAGGCCAATCTAACTTTTGAGCTCATTCTCTGCTGGACTATGTCATCTAAGATGTAACATAACTCAACCCGTTATTGTAGAATAGAAATTAAAGCAAATTCTAAGTTTGGGGACTGACAAGGAAATGGAAAGAATAGTCCCTTGTTTGATTTTTAAAAAATTAGGGCCCAGTGGCGTGGCCTAGCGGCTAAAGTCCTCACCTTGAATGCGCCGGGATCCCATATGGGCACCAGTTCCAATCCCGGCTGCTCCACTTCCCCTCCAGCTCCCTGCCTGTGGCCTGGGAAAGCAGTGAAGGACGGCTCAAAGCCTTGGGACCCTGCACCCGTGTGGGAGACTCGGAAGAGGTTCCTGGTTCCCGGCTTCGGATCAGCACAGCACCGGCCGTTGCGATCACTTGGGGAGTGAATCATTGGACGGAAGATCTTCCTGTCTCTCCTGCTCTCTGTATATCTGACTTTGTAATAAAAATAAATCTTTAAAAAAAATATCTAAAGTTTGGCATTAAAAAGAAATATCTTAAATGCCTTCGAAACAAATTTGATCTCCTTAACTATGTACCCTTCACAAGTCAGTCTCACTAATTTGCTGATTTCAGGATGAACAAAAATTCAACTACAGATAAAATTAACATAATCTTGCGTTTACAAGTAAATTATTCTTAGCAATTATCAACTGCATATAAATCTAAGAATTGGCTTATTTAGAGCTTTAAGCTACATTAATAGAATCCCCCCGAAATACAATATGCCAATTGAAGCTATAGCTAAAAGACACAGAATTGATAGCAAAGCATGCCATATTAGAGTTGAAAAAAAAAAACACAAAAGGCAGAGCGAGGCAACATTCTCAGCGTTCCCTGCTGCCACCAGCCATCCAGAAGCCTATTCCTGGGCCTACGTCTGCGTGTTCTGCCTGCCGCTGGTCAACGAGGCACACAGCACCGAATAGATACTAGTTTAAAATACATTTTTGTCTGTAAGACCAAGAAAAGACATTTAGGTGGGGGGGGGGGGCTGAAGCAAGGAGCCAGGAGGTGAATCTGAGTCTCCCACAGTCCTGGGGCCATCACCGCTGCCTCTGCTAGCCTGTGCCACAGCAGGACGCCGAGCACAGAAGCGGAGCTGATCACTACGGAGTGTGGGCTGTGGTCATCCCAAGCGGACTCTGCACCACTAGGCCAGATGCCCGTCCCCGCTCTATGGCACAGAAATGCACCTGCACAGGTCACAGATGCTCAATGCCGCTGTGACGACATGGGACACAGTGCCAGGGGACCTGGGGTGCACACCCTACAGACTCGAGCGTCCTGTAGCAACCTCTGGGGACACGCAGGGGCTGGCTGCTTGTAC